TGCCTTTTCCTCCAAGGCACCTCTGGGTGGATTTGAACCACCAACCTTTTGGTTAGTAGGCAGGTACTTAACTGTTTGCACCACCCAAGAACTCTTCATGTCCTTTAAAAACCCCAAAATCAAACTCCTTGCCGTTGAGTTGATTCCGACTCATAGCGACCCTATAGGACAGAGTAGAACTGTCCCATAGGGTTTCCAAGGAGTGGCTGGTAGATTCAAACTGCCGACCTTTTGGTTAGCAGCGAAACACTTAACCACTATGCCATTTTAGGTACCTTTCAAATCTCTCTTGAACAACATCCCTCCCCTCCGGTAAAAACAGCCTTTCGCTCACTTAAATGCTGCTGCTTCCTCCAGATCCCATGGCACCTGGAATTAACATACATGGCTTTTAAATTACATTAGAATTATTTGCATACTTGTGTTTCTTTTACTAGGGCTGTTGGAATTGTTTTATTCTCTTTGTGCTCCCAGTGTTCAGCATAGGGCTTGAGACATAGTTCAGATTCAGTAATGTTTCTTGAATGAATGAATGCAGGAATGAATGTATGAGTGACACAGTAGGCAAATACCAAAGAACAAAAACATGTCACTCTTATATATTAACACATTCTGAGAAGGAGTGGGAGGAGGATCTTGAGTACTGTCAAAGTAGTTTTCAAGAGTAATTTTAAAGAACTTGATTTAGATATGTTCAGAATGAGATACACATTGAGACTGTTGTCAGAATCAGATAGAAGTTGAAGCCTGCATCTTAAATATCAGCGTAGCATGTTTGAGTAGCAAAAACAGTAGCATTGCTGCTATTGAAGTTTTAAAAGGTGGGAAGGTTGTGATTGCTAGGCTGAGAGGTGGATGCCTTAAGCAATTTAGGAAAGGGAAAGCTCAGATAGGATAGGGGTAGGATCTGTATTAATTATGGGTCACCAAACCAAACTCATTGCCGTTGAGTTGATTTCAACTCACACTGACCCTGTAGGACAGAGTAGAACTGCCTCATAGGGTTTCCAAGGAGCAGCTGGTAGATTCAAACTGCCGACCTTTTGGTTAGCAGCCGAGCTCTTAACTACTGTGCCAAAAATATAAAATTCACTTTCTCTTTTAGTGCTACAGTTTTGTAAGCATGAATGGCCATTAGTGATTACTGTATTTTTTCTTGTTTTCAGTGGAGCAGCTCAATGACTTTCAGTTACATTTCTTCTTTAAAGAAGTTTAAAGGCCCCCCTCGCGTTCCTGCCCGCATCCTGAGCTGTCCTTTCCTCTGTGTGCACACTGACTTACCATCTCCAGGTTGCCCTAATGAGTCAGTCCCTTGACCAGCTTCCCAGACCCTTATTCCCTCATCCATACTTCTCCACATGTTACAGCATTACAAAGCTTTTCACAGCCATTTGGTAGGATTCAGAGCAAGAGTGACAAATGGTTACCAGTGGGGCAGCACTAATTATATTTTTATCATGTTGTAGAGAGTGAGTGCATGACACGCAGGTTGTTCTTTTGTGTTGCCAGCAATTTTTCTGCTGAAGGTAAAAGGCATTTTTGTAAAGGCCATATAAAATTATTTACCATATGTACCTCAAATGTGAAGTAATGAAGTAGTCATCAGTCACATTTTGGTTTAGTGTTCTGACTGGAATTCACAAGAAGATTACTGTTCTTCACACCATACAAATTGTCTTCTGTCATGGTTTGAATTATGTCCCCCCAAAAATGTGTGTATCGATTTGGCTGGGCCATGATTCCCAGAATTGTGTGGCTGGCCTCCATTTTGTGATTGTAATTTTATGTTGAAGAGGATTAGGGTGGGATTGTAACACCACCTTTACCCAGGTCACATCCCAGATCCAATGTAAAGGGAGTTTCCCTGGGGTGTGGCCTGCACCACCTTTTATCTCTCAAGAGATAAAAGGAAAGGGAAGCAAGCAGAGAGTTGGGGACCTCTTAGCATCAAGAAAGCAGTGCTGGGAGCAGAGCGCGTCCTTTGGACCGGGGTCCCTGCTCAGAGAAGCTCCTAGTCCGGGGGAACACTGAAGAGAAGAAGGCCGACAGAGAGAAAAAGCCTTCCCCTGGAGCTGACGCCCTGAATTTGGACTTTTGGCCTACTTTACTGTGAAGAAATAAATTTCTCTTTGTTAAAGCCATCCACTTGTGGTGCTTCTGTTAGAGCAGCACTAGATGACTAAGACATCTTCTGTGTGGGTGTAAACCACCATCCCACAGGCTCAACCTGATTTGTCACGTTGCTTTGGCCTCATCTTTGATTCCAGTGAACAAAGCCAAGTAAGTGTGGCTTGGGCTGGCCTGCCACCCGTGGAAGGTGTGGGCCCACTATGGTTTTGTAATGACATTGGGAATAATATAATGACACCCTAGCCCATGTAGACATGTTTTCTCTTCCTCTCCTTCTGTGGACACCTACTCTTAAGGAAAGAGTATAATTTCTATTGGCTAAAATCTGTCATCTCTGCTTGGAATTATATTTCCTTGAGGGATTAAATTGAATTATCCATCAGCCAAATGAAAAGCTTGATTGCTAAATGCCTAGTTCTAGACATTATGAATCACCTGTAATATCACATTTCTTGGTACCTTTCAGAATGCTATTTTATATAAAAGCATATATTGCAGGATGAGAGGGATAAAATTTAATGCATTTTATGCAGGCTGATAGAATGATAGGGCCTGTGACTGTCATTGTAACCAAAACTGATCTTTGATCTTTTATAAAACTAAGACAACTCATTGAAAGTGAATTTACTTCAGCTGGTGAGATTCAAAACGTAGATCTGCTAAAATGTCAATACGCTGGCACTTGTTGTAATTAATGGCATAAGTACCTAATATACTAATGGGAACCCAAATAAGGGAAAGAAAACACATTTTGCTCTTACTTAAGTCGTGTTGACATCATACATAAATCAGGCAGAATTTGGAAATTGTTTATCTCGCATTCATTATGAAGCCACAGAATCAATAGTGGGAGGTTACAATCTTTAGGCAACTTTCAGATATGGATTAAGAAAGTCACTCATAGTCATTGGGCTTCTTTTGTTCTCCTTGTTATGCAAACAAAGTGGCAGGTAGACCCATTCTTATCTCCCAGTATTTTTTGCCACTTTGATAGATTCTGCTCTGTGAGGTCTTTAAAGCTTTTTAAGAGAAACAGCACAAACACAGTGTAATACAGGAGAAGTAGCACTGGACAGAGGCAGGAGAACTGGGCTTGTGATTAACTAATGACCTTGGGCCTTAGTATCCTTATATGTAAAAGAGAGGATTGGATTAAAATTTAGGGCTCTTCACATTTGACTTTTAAGCCGCAAAATAAAGCTTTCCTGGAACCCCAATATGCAAAACGGGCAAAAGTGGGATTGTTCTGAAGCAAAGTGAAGTAAAAGCCAGAGTCCCACTTATTTGGCTCATCCCCTACATTTTGAAATAATTATTTTAGATGATCATTAAGGATCTTTCCAATTGAAAAGTTCTGGTGTTCATGTTAATTTAAAATGAAGTTGTATTAGGACTACAGAGCCAATTCAAGTGAAAAGGAACATAGTCTGAGTGACAGATTTATGGCATGCTGCATTGGGCTAGGCAGATCTGTTCCAAGTCTGTCTCCACTTGTGTGACTGTGTAAACATGTGGAAGCAGGTTAGATGGCAGTCAGGAATGTTGGATTTTGGCGTGAGGTAGACCTTGGCTAGAGGCTGGGCACTACCGTTTATTATCTGCAACCTTGAGCAAGTTATTGAATTCCCTAATATTCAATTTCTCATCCATAATATAAGATTGATAATAGCACCTACTATCCAGGGTTACTGTGAGGATTAAATGATATGTTAAGCCCGTGAAGCTCTTGGCACCAGTGGTGTTAGCATGCAGTAATTGCTCAAAGGGTAAGAGTTCATTTAAGCACAGGGATGCTTGTTGAATGAATGAGTATAGAACTAGCTTTTTATTTCTGGGATATCTTTGTTTTATTTAATTGATTTGACATTAATATTCAGGCTTACTAAAGCATACTATTTGCCAGTGCAAATAATCATAAACTCTAATTGTGCTTCAGTTCCATAACTTTTGAAGGAATATGAAAAAATGGGATGCTAACGTCACACAGACAACTTTCATTTAGGGAACAAAGTTACTGTTAAGATTCATGGACCTTGTCAGTTTAATATTTTTGTTCATAAATGTAAAAGTTCTCAAGGTGGAGGATTTTAGAACAGTGATTCTACCACGTTAGCATGTTAGCATGCATCAGTATTACTGGGGAGTGCTTGTTGAAACAAAGGTTCATGGAACTCACCCTCAGAGTTTCTGATTCAGTTGGCAGGGGTAGGGCCCTAGTAGTTGCATTTCTGAAATGTTGCCACGTGATGCGGTTGCTGCTGGGATTAAAACCCATTGTCCCTTGAGTGGATTCTGACTCATAGCCACCCTAGATGACAGAGCAGGGTTTCCGAGGCTGTAATCTTTACAGAAGTAGACTGTCACATCTTTCTCCCGCAGAGCAGCTGGTGGGTTTGAACCACTGACCTTTTGATTAGCAGCTAAGCACTTAACCTCTGTGCCACCAGAGGTCCTTGAGAATCACGTCTTTACAGTAAAGGTAACAATAATTAAACAATTTAACTGAATTACTTTGGAGCACAGACGCTAAATACAGAAATGGTAATGAAAAGGTATATACTTAAATATATGAAGGATCCACGCCAGCTATGAATTTGAGTACTGCAATAAATATAAAATTGGTGATTCTCTCTAAGTATTTGATTATTTAGAAATCTCCCTACATATGCTTTTTTTCTTATTCATTTTTGTAAGATGTCTCTCCCTCCCTGTCTTTCTCTTTAATTTTACTTTTAACGTAAATATGCTTTTAATGTTCAAAGCAGAAGGGAACCTTTCATACAACCTTGCTGTATTATTAGGTTTGTTTATAAGCTATTCCTGCACTGTTAGATTTTATACTGAAACATGTTTTCTTGCTTTTGTTGTAGTATGGAAGAGAAGAGAGCGACTGGACAATCATAGTATCCTGAATGAGAAACACAGAATATCATCTTTATGCCGTTAGGACAGACTGGTGCATTTGAATTATGATAGATTTCTTTGGCTACCTTTTTGTAGTTGTGCATAAAGTAGTTTGTATTATTGGTGTGTTACCAGGGTGATTGTTTCCTCATGCCAGAGACAATGAATTGCAATCATAAAATGATGATTTCTAAACTTACTTTACCTTCTCTTAGAAAGACTATAATGTAAGCTATATAACATAGAATTTTCCTCAATAATTTTAGTGCCTCCCTTAGTACTTAGATTCAGAGATGTTCGTTCATTTGTTCTTTAGCATAAACTGTGTTCTTCTGCTCAACCAAATGAGATTTTTTTGTGTTTAAAGCTGATTAAATTTCATAGGTAACATTTCCTGTGATGCATCTTTATCCCCAGAAGGTGTTTTCTGCTTGCATTTTTATTTTCTCTCTGCTCTATTCAATAGTCCTTTTTAAAAACCAGAGTTCTTCTCTTCACTTTTTTTTTTTTTTGGCAGACCCCCTAAATCCATCTTAAGATGAACCTCCTTCCTTCTTTCATGCTCACCTTGTGCATCCATAAAACCTGGGCCAATTCCACTGTTAGTCTTTCCACACCATATTGTAATCAGCTGTTTGTCAGGCTCCGCTACAAGACTAAGGGTCTTGTGCCTTATATATCTCTGTATCCCCAATGCCTGGCACATAGTAGGTACTCAATAAACATTATGTATAATGAATGAACATTTAGCTTCTATAGAAGTATATCTTTGTTTCTATATTATGAAACCTCTTTATTCTCTTTGTTAGAATTTGTGATTGATTCTGACATTGTTATATTTACCTCATGTTGTCTTTATTTTTCATGGACTAATAAGTCATTAAGAGATACCAGAGGCATAATTAGTTGGAGCAATTATTTAATATTTGAAGGATGTCTTGGAATTGAAGGCATATTCTAGAGAAAAGTCTAGATGCCAACCAAAGGGAAATGACAAATGTTATATGTTAAGTGTTAAATACAAAATAAATGATCATGTTTCATTTTTTAAGTAGAAAGCAAAGAGCTATACTGTGGTTGTTGAACTGGGATTGGATGAGTGAGTGGTTAGGGTACATAAAGAGCCAACTATAGACTTTTTCTTCACTTAGGAACTGTGAGTTAAAATTTTATCCTTCCTGGTTTACCTAGAGTAAAGTCAAAATCTGTTAGAGTTCATTTGTCCTTGTAACGTCAGCTCTCAGACATCTATATTTGGATTTCCCTCAGTCCTTATAACTATCATCTTGCTGATCATATTTCATTCTCTTTTCAGAGCAAGGGGGAAAAAATTCTGAAAGTTTGCATTGGAAAAATATCCCTAAGGCATTTAACAATACACAGCAAATGGGACTTTGATTTTTTCCCAAGACTTTTAGCCATAGGGTCTTTTTAAATAGGAATGGTAAAATGAAAATTAGAGAAGTATAAGATGAAAAGGAATGGTAAGAACAGTATCTTTTAGGGGGGTTGTAATGGGTGACCTGAAATCTTGGAAGCATCTGCTCTTTTCAGGCCTTAGTGTTTCTGACTGCCCTCTGCACACGGTCACTAAGTAGCAATTGAATGGTTTGCTTTTGCCTTGGTTAAATCCTTGGACCTCGTTTTTAATGTAGTAATCTAGAAAAAGCTTCCAGGTAATTGTACTGTCCAGTAGCACAAAATAACTAAGCTCAGATTCCTATGAGAAGTGGAAATCGTTTGCTTGCCATAGGTTTTATGCTTTTGAATCTCTAAATTTAGCATGGCAAGACATGTCCATTGTGAAAGTTAGAGAACAGTGGTATGTATTGGCATTATCTGTGTATGATTTCTTTCATAAAACTTCTAAGAGCATTAAAGCCCTTTTTACTAGACATAGTGAAGGCTAAGGTATGCATTTTTTAAAAACTGGAGGTTTTTATTTAAAATAACTGGAGGTTTTCCCTAAGACAGAGAACACAATCTGCCATTCTCATTTAAGTAATAAGACAGGAACAATTGACCTAGACACTGACTTGTTGAATGGATTTAACGGGAACATCTGCACATCTGTTTTCTTGTGCTCTATCTGTTTAATTGCAGTGGATTAATACAGCAAGAGTGGCACATTATAACCAGGCAATTATCCATCCTTCAGGACTTGGTTATCGCAACACTAATTGATCATTTAAGGCATAAGATAGTCTAACATTAGGAACATGTGAGGCTAATCTGCTCAAAAAGATCAACAAATTAATATTGTTGCTGATATTTGCATAATTGGCTGCAATTATTTAATGTTTAATTGGGTTGATCAAATGAGATTCAGCAATTCACATGTGCATGAATATAAACAGAACTGGTGGCACTTAAAATGATAATGATTAACTTATTTTGCATGTTCTCTTCCTCCCACTTTATTCAGTTACTACATTTCAGACCCAGTTTGTCAGCTTTTTACAAAACACATCAGTAGAAACCAAGATTTTAAAATGAACTGTTCAACCGACATAGACAAAACCTCAGTATTAAGAATATTTGCTGTTGGAAATTTTCTTTGATATAGTCATTTATTAAGGATTCAACTCATGATATCCCACAAGAACAGTAAATTTCAGGGAAGTGTTCCATATTTGCTGGCACTTTGCATCTGGCAGGAATGAATAACTGAATAATACCTGCTTTAGCCTTTGCTTTCAAAAGCACATAGAAAAAGTAAAAAGGAAAGGGAAGGAGAAATGAAAAATCCGGTTGGAGAATTTTTTTTTTTTAATCTGGTAAACGTCCTCTGGAGTCCCTGGGTAGTGTAAACGGTTGAGCGCTCAACTACTAGCCAGAAGGTTGAAGTTCAAACCTACCCAGAGGCACTTGGGAAGACAAGCCTGAGTTCACAGCCTCGAAAACCTTATGAAGCAGTCAGAAATGACTAACAACAACAAACATTCTCTATTCTTTTCTGAAAAGATAGCTGTAAGGAAAAGAAAAAAAGAATGGTCAGAGACAGCGGCAAGAAAGCACAGTATAACGTCGAGTGTATGATGGCGTGCAGTGTCAGTTAGGGGAAGCCTTCACTACACACCTGGATGTACAGTTCTTCACCTTATTATTAGTTTCATTGTTTGATATAATTGTACCTGAACAAGTGGTGTCTTGCTTTCCTCAGATTAGAGCCCTCTTGGGCACTTGAGGGCAATTAATGACTATGTCTTAGAAGAACTGTGAGACTTTTAAATCTGCCGTTTCAGCTTTGTTTAGGAGGATTGTGCTGTGAAATCAGCTACCAAAATAAGCTTATTTTCTTTCCCTATTCCTACTCAGTGCTCAATCGCTTCATTCTTTTTCCGTAAGAAGTTCTTTTTTAAAATTGTATGTTCAGTTTACTCGTATGATCAGGAAAACATATTTTAAACAGAAACAACGCTTGCTCACTTTCAATGAAATAAATATATTGAGAATGATATTTTCTAAAACATTTAGAGCAATAAGTATTCAGCAGCTACAGAAAGGCAAATGGTTTAGACAGGGGTTAGAGAAATATTGTAAGATCCCTTATTTGATGTCCTGATTCTAAATACAATCAAACAATTCTTTGTATTGTGGATTTCTTCTTATGTGAATATGCAAAAACGTAAGTTATAAATACTAATGCTAACAAGTAATTTTAGTGGACACTTTATAACACTTGTCAGTTGTTTTGTCCCAAGTGTAATGTGTTTTCAGATATTACTTCAAAAAGGATGCAGATGGTACCAGCTTTTCAATAAACATTACCTATTAATTGACAGAGATCATAGAGATTATAGTTATTTGATCAGCTATGATAAATGTTGATTGAGTACCCTCAAGTGTGTGTCTAACACAGCCAACAATAGAGATTAGGAAGTCAGTTTTAGAAAATAAATGGTATATAGACATTAACCTCATGAGGTTTATAGTCTACTATTTTAATTAAGTTTATATATAAAAGCAGCGTTTTAATGCAGTTAGATGAGGAGAGGAAGGCAAGAGCACGTCTCTTTACAAGAAATCACAATAAACGCTCATTCCTTTTTAAAGGAAATTTGTCCTTTTTTCATTCCTTCTTTTTCTCTAGTGCAAAACTACTTAGTAAGGTTAATATTTAGGGTTATAGATGTAAGCCACTGCTTACCTGTGCAAGTTATCTCTTCCTACTTTACTACTGCTGATTTGGTACATTTGTTGACTGCATCTTTTGGAGCAATGTTGAGTTGTTATGGTACATGGAACAAAAGAACACCTCAGATAACAGCATCCTTGCTGATCTTCTTAAAGCCGGATAATATTGAAATAAAGAAATGATCTAGAGTGAGTTTTTCTGGAAATTATCTATTATAAATCAAGCTATTTAGCGATATTAGCTTGAAGGTGATGGATCTTAGCTACTTAGAAAATAACAGGTGGAAGACTTTAACATAACCATGATTCTTCACAGTTTGATGTTTTTAAAAAGAATGGCAAAGAGATTCATTTTTATCATTGCCAAAAGCTCTTTTAAAAAAAATACAAAGGTAGAAGGAAGTGATTTATTTCTTGTCTTCAGCATACATAGCATAATAAAATATTTTTCTGATACTTAATTTTGGAAGGTTGATAATGAAGCATAGCAACAGGATGTAGCAGTGTTCATGGGTAAATAATTCCCTAGGAGCAGATATATGTAAACATAACTGCTTTCAAAAATGTTGATAAAGTTATCAAATTCAGTCTCAGAGGGGAGTGGTCTTTGAAATCTGCTGGATACAAGTATTGAAGTTTTAAGTCTTCTTCTGTCTGAAAGTATATTTTTCATACCATGATAGACCCAATTAATGAGACTCAAAACTTGAATTGTATAGTGTTGAATTTATATAATCCAGTGTTGGGATGCTAAGAATTGACTGTGAGATGTTCAATGAGGATGAATTAAATTGCAGTATCATTGACAGCTTTCTCTGCACATCACCCTGTGTGGTGATGGTTATTAAGCTGCCATCAGAGTGTTTGAAACGCACTACCTCAGCTCCACTATCACAGTCACTAGGTTCCTTGTTACCCATATAGAGTATTGAATTGTGGAGAAAGGTTTAATTAAAGATGTCAGAGGAAGGAAACAAATTAGAGAAAGAAAGGAATAATATAAGGAAAAAAATATCAACATTACTTTTGTGTTGTCCAAAAGAGTTTTTTCCTTATTCTGCCAGGCATTGGGATGTTTAGCTTCAATGAAGATACTAAATACAAACAGTGACAATTAGAAAGTGATTAAAGATGGTGGTCAGTTGATCAGATATTAGAATTAAGCCACAATCTTGAGATTATATACTGAGGATTGTGTTATATGGAAACCACTTTAGGTTACTACCGAGTAAGACTTTATTTTATAGTTGTATAGTCTTTAAAATTTATTTTAAAGAATATATTATTCAACCATTTCATCCTTTCTAAAACTCATTAAGGTTCTTGAGGCTGGAAAAAATAATAAGTGACAAGGAATATATTGTGACTTAGTAATT